GTTGGCAAGGTGGTTTTGAAAAGTATATGCTCATCAAGGCTGCATTTATTTGATCCAAAACGCAGTAAAACTGTAATACTGTGAAAGCTCAATAGAACAGAATTTATTTTAAATATAAATATTTTGTAACTTGTTTTTACTGTCATTTGATTAAATTAGTGTCTTTGCTGAATAATGAAAATCGTAATGACCCCAAACTTTTGAAAGGTAGTGTATATGCAGTTGATTTTAATGTATTTCTTCTTAAATGTGTCCTTGAAGTACACATCTGTGGAAATTTGGTGTAGCACCATCAGTCATAATTATAAAGAGGGATTTTGAAAATGGAGGAATTTAGTGTTTTTGTTTTTAATTCTGCTTTCCAAACTTTTATATCCTGCATCTGCTCGTCTCCCTCTTAATTGACGCAAGCACAAAATACAGTAGCAGGCTTTGAGGTGCTATAAAATGCTACTATCTTTTGTCTGACCTTCTATTCTGTCTTTTTTGTTGTTCCTTTTTTTATTTGAACCATGCTCGTCTTCATTAGAAAAAAGACAAGGTAGGCTGCTGTTTTCTGCATGCTGCCTTTGCTCCACAGTGTAGACTGTTAGAACTTCTGACAACATGATCTTTAACGTGTTGGAGGCAAATTGTTAAAGTACCCAGGATGATATTTTACTTACTGTAATTTTTAGTATAGTAAAAGTTTTATTTTTTATTTGATTCACCTCCAATTCAAACATTTTATGACTGGTTAAATTAAGTCACGGATGTGTCTAATCCTCCGTATTTCTCTTTTTTTTTTCTTTTTTTTTTTAAGGGTAAAGTTGAAAAGGTCAGTTTGATCTGTATGTTCATGACTGTTTGTTTGGTTATGAGGTCTGTTGGCATGAGCTGAGATTGATTTAACAGCATTAAATCATACAGACATGTTAACCTCATAACCATACCAACTCAGCCAAGCTGTGCCACTCGGTGTGTGCATTCTTGTATGAGGGGTATAACGGTTCAGTTTCTGTGTCACTCACGCAATACATTTTTAAGATGGGAACCACACAGTTCATACACATTTTAACCATGGCACAAATGTGTACCAAACAGTGGGTGACAAACTGTATGAGAGCAGTTTTACCCCTTGTGTTAGTGTGTGCATGATGGCTAAATATTGTGAAGCATTAGATGTTTGAGTTTCTTTATTTTACTCATTGTGTGAATACACATTTTCCCCATGCTTTGCATCTTCTTGGATGTTTATTCTGCAAGGCAAACTAGGAGTTTTATGGCTGCTGAGATCCAGAGAGACAATCTTGTTTACATGGTCCTCAAATATCTGCAGACTGATGTGTTGAAACTGGCCTTCAGCGCTGACACTAATCGAAAAATACAAATTTAGTTCACAACTAGGGCTAATTTGTGTATTTAATCAGTCTTGAAGGTGCACTCAGTGGTATTTTTATTTTCAAAAAAGTTTGACATACAGCCCGAGTGTTCATCTCACGAGTCTATATGAGTCTGAGCATCTTAGTTCTGTATATATTGTTAAATGTTGTTGGTTCTTATGTGAATTTATGTATTTGTGTCGTCACCAGGATGCAGAGGAAGGCTTGATTGCGTATGAAGACAGTGGAGTGAAGAACACGCTTCCCTACTATATTAAAGACCTAGAGGGAGGTGCTTACCCACAGGTTGGAGACAAGGTACGTTTGACTGGCACTGTGGCTCGGTGTTACTTGTGCTTGCTGAATATCTCCTTGGACTAATAAAGTAGTTTTTCAACTTGATAATTTGATGTAAAGTAAACCCTCATGTCTCCACTAGGTGGAGTTCTCCATCAGTGAGGTAAAACGCACTGGACAGCAAAGCGCTGTGTCCCTCAAGATCCTTAATCGTGTTGTTGGCACCAAGAGGCTTCTGGGATACATTGCAACACTGAAGGATAACTTTGGCTTCATAGAAACAGCCAATCATGATCAGGAGATCTTCTTCCACTACAGGTAATGAATGTTTCTCCTTGATGGCTTTGCCTCATAGTTTTTTTTTTCTTGTTTGATGATTGTTGTTTAATCTGAATTGTGTGCAGTGAGGTGTGTGGGGATGTGGATAATATGGACCTGGGAGATACAGTGGAGTACACTCTATCCAAGGGCAAAGGAAACAAAATCAGTGCTGAGAAGGTCACCAAAGTTGCAGCTGGTATGTTGCAGAGACTTTTTATTGGTTTGGCATTAATACATTAATATTTGTTTCACGCAAATAACACAACTCTGCGTGTGTCAGTGAATGGTGTAGGAGAAGATGTGAGTAATACCGTGTTCCTGGGGAAAGTGGTTCGGCCCTTGCGCAGTGTGGACCCTTCTCAGACTGATTATCAAGGCCTTATTGAGATCACAGAGGAAGGTGAGTGACACAAGCTCTTTTTTTGTGTATGTGGTACTCTTAAAATCCATCTAGAGCATTTTGTAATCAAGTTAGAAACCATGAACTCCCCTCATTTTTAATAAACTACTGTTATGTGCTCAAACATTTCTAGGAGCCAGCAAGGGTCAGAGTTATCCGTTTGGCATCGTTGGTATGGCCAATAAAGGTGACTGTCTGCAAAAGGGTGAGATGGTGAAGTTTCAGTTGTGTACAGTGGCCCAGACAGGACAAAATATGGCCTGCAATATTGTGCCTCAGCGTAGAGCCCTGGTGGAGTGCGTCAAAGATCAGGTAAACTTACTGATGCAAGAAAGTGAGAAGGTTTTACCTTAAACAACTGGCTAAAAGTGTCTAACTTTTTTACCCCCCCCCAGTTTGGTTTCATCACGTACGAAGTTGGAGAGAGCAAGAAGCTGTTTTTCCATGTCAAGGAGGTGCAGGATGGTCTGGAGCTCCAGGCCGGTGATGAAGTGGAGTTTTCGGTTATCCTGAACCAACGCACAGGCAAATGCAGTGCCTGCAATGTTCGCAGAGTCAGGTAAGACTGTTGGGTGTGAATCTGAGTCACGTGTAATATTAGGATATTATTGAGCTCTTAAATATTTTATATTTATATTGGCTTTTTAATTAATCCAACCAGATTTGTTTTGTTTTTGTTTTTTTTATTACACAGTGAGGGTCCAAAACCAGTAGCAACACCTCGACCTGACAGACTGGTCAATCGCTTGAAGAGCATCACTCTTGATGACACCAACGCCCCCCGTCTTGTTATTATCAGACAGCCTCGTGGCCCAGACAATTCAAAGGTAAAAATAAACTTGATTGTTGAGTCTAAATCAAAAACTAACTTTTTGCAGGTTTTTAGAAAATATTTGTAAACATTCTTGCTTCTAATACTGCAGTCCAGGATACTTTCAGATATGAAACTTGCCTAAAACAATTTTGACATCTTGATATTGACCTCTTTTGTTCCTACAGGGCTTCAATGTAGAGCGGAAATCCCGCCAACCTGGTGTTACTGACTAAGTACTGTTCACCCCTCTCTTCCTCCTCCTCCTCACTATGGAAGAAACACCTTGAAGAAAAGCAATCAGACAGAGGGCAGAGGAAGGGATTTGTGTGTCTGTTTAGTTCGCTCTCATTTTATCTCTCACACATAAACACAATTCACAGAGTAACAAACCCATCAAGACTTGAAAATTATCACACACAATTCCCTTCCTGTGTCACAGGATCCCTTGCAAACAAAAAAAAATCCTCATCTCATTGTCTTCATTGTATGTGTGACGTTTTTGTGTGGTTGTAATTTGAGCAAAACCCCTCGTGTTGTATGAGCGTGTGTGTGTGGTATGCATCACATGTAAACTTGTAAGGTTATGCAGAGGATATGAGGGGAAATAAGGGGTTTGTAGTTCTCACATCTTTAGATTGAGATGTGGGCACTGTTTGACCCGTTTTTCGTTTCTGCTGAAATTGAAATGCCAGGAATTCTGCACCTGCGGCTGTGTGAGTGAGTTATTGTTTTAGAGTAGCTTTGCCTGTCTGTATTTTGACCTCCGTTATATATACTTTATTCTTCCTGTATCACTTGAATCCTTCTCATGTTGAGTTTCTCACACAGGTGAAGTCGAGATATTGCTGGGCTCTTTCTGCTGAGAAATAAAATGACTTTAAGGTTCTTTTCGCTCACGTTTTCCATACCAATTCCATAGGTTTTAATATGGATCTGAAAACTTAATACATTTTCTCTCCGCTCAGAAGCCGCTTGTGTATGGTTTTTGATGTGTAAATTACTATTTTTTGGTTATTTTCAAATTACATTGGCTTGTTTTCTTTTTAAAGAGCCTTTATTTTAATTCCTGTTTTGATTTCATAAGCTCAATCTGTTTATGGGCAAGTGCAGAATTCCTAATGGCATCTTGTAGCCTGCGGTCCTTTTTATATAGCTCTTTTTCTTTGCACATGTACTTTCCTTTTTTTCCTTTGAGTTCTACTTAATGTCTGCTAATGAATAAATTAATAAAGAAAAAGGTGCCTAAAAACAAACAAAACAAAAAAATAAAAACAAAAAAAATTGGTGTCTCTATCCTCGAACAGCCACCAAAATATAAGCGCAATTGTAGAGTGGCTCTTTTTTCCCCCCATGTAGAGAATACTGGTGTGCATCCTCCCCCATACCTGTGGGTTGCAGTATATACTAAGTAATGTGTGCTTTTACTTGGGTGGACTTTTTGAAAACCTGAATAAAACAAATGTATGCAGGACATAAGAAATGGGGGAAGTGTAATGAGTAAAATTTTAAAACATGCAAAGAAATTTGATTACATGGATAGAGGCTATTTGCAGTGCTTCTTATGACAAATGGAGCTATAACTGTCATGAATATTCTCTGGAGCACCCTCGGTTTGTGTTGAACCTTAAGGTTCTATATACTTTTGTTAATGGTCTTGAATGAAACAATTGAAATAAACATTTTATGAGAATCAAAGATGTATTATGTTTAATTTTGTATTAGCAAAGTACTGTACGGAACCTTTAAACATCTTCATGCCTTTGCACACTTTTAAACGAGGTATCCATGAAACCTAAAAGAACGGAAGTTTAGAAGTTTCAGAGTGCTTAAACTCTGGTGCTTCCCAAATGTATGGTGATTTCAGAGCGGTGAACTATCTTGTGTTTTGTCTCTGATGTTGGATTTTGGCTCCGAGACCATCGCGTCCACCACTCCCAAAGGTCTTCTGGTCCACTTAGAGGAGGATTTGATATCTGGTTTGCTGAAACAAGCACATATGGGAGTTTGGACTCCAGCGTTGTCACCGCCCTGTTTGTTCCAGCATCTCCACATGATCCGTCTACTGAGATCTGTATTTTTTTGACGCTTGTTTGGGCAGGTTTTGTCGCATCTGCTTGGATATTCTCTCTAGTGACATCTTCATGACCTGTTTGCTGCTGGGAGTTTCTCAAGTCCATCACTTGCAGTTTCTGTTTGTACTCTTCCAGCTTAGCTTTGCACTCAGCAGCTTCTTCTTTTATCTGAAGGAACTGCCTCTGAAGGTCTCTCTCAAAGACTTCCTCCGCCTTGAGCTCATTGAGCCAGAACTTGAGCTGCTCCTCTTCTTCCGACAGCAGCTCGGAAAGCTCCCTGGTAGCTTGCTGCTGCTCTAGCTCAAGGATCAACTGGTCCGTTGACTTAATTTTGTGCTGTAGTTCTTGCAGACTTGCCTGTTGTTGGACAACTAGACTTCTTAACTCTACAGTCTCTTTACTCTCGGTCTCTTGATGGATTGTTTGGACCACTGGATTATGGGTTTTCAGGTCCTCTGTGCCTTTCCGTTCCTCTTCCTCTCGTCTCTCACATACAGCACTCTCATCAGTGTATCTCCCACGGTTCCCAAGGCAACTGATCAAAGGCTGATGTGGTGCAACTCTATTTTTGTCTCTTGGCTCCGGTGTCCCAGAAGCCAGGGATCTTTTGGTTGTGTTATCTGAGTGCCCATTTCCTTTTTTGCCCTCCTTGTCTTTCCCCTTATCTCGTCCTGATTGCTGCTTCCCACCTCTGCCCAAGTTTTCCAGCCAACCCCATGCTTCCTCCATTAGCGTTAGCGACTTCCGCTTGGGTCTCTTCGGTTCCTCGGGTGGTGGCTCGGAGTGGATACAGAGGTGTGACAGTGGTGGGAGGCTCTGGCGGTGTAGGGCGATTGCCCCGCTGCCTCTCCGTGCTCTCCCTGTCCCCTCCGCTCGCCTCATTTGGGCTTTGGGCTGGTTTGTTTCTTCCCCAAGGGATGGACTGATATGCTTCAAAGTGAGCTGCACCTCCTTAGCTTGCTCACCATATTTCTCCAAGGACTCCAAGAGACGTTCATCTGGAGTCACATTACGTTCATATTCTTTGAATTTTTCTCTCAGAGTGTATCGACCAGTGCGACCTATGGGAAAACAATATTAAAAGTGATATTTTTGGGACAAACAGATGCTTTTATCCAAAGCAACTTACAGATGATGAATCAATTCATCTTAAGGAGGCAATATAACACAAGAAGAGCTACAATACAAACTTTCAAATATTGTCCAGAATAGTACAAGCTAGAATAAACTACTTCATTAATATTATCAGGGATTTGGCTGTTTGGAGAGTCAGAACAATCATTTTTTAATCAAAACATTAACTGTAACCGTTTTACTCACCCTTCTTTCATTCCAAAATTGTCCTCTGTGGAACACAAAGATATTTTGATATGAACTGTTTTTGTCCATATAATGGAAATCACTGTGGTCCAAAACAACTTTGACTTTAATCGTTTGGACAGAAACACAGACAAATTACAAAATATCTTCTATGTTCCACAGAATAAATAAAGTTGTACAGGTTTGGGACAATACGAGGTTGAGTATATCATGACCAAATTGTTATTTTGGGGTGAACTGTCCCTTTAAGGCCTTTAAGGGCATTTGACCTTCTTATGAATGTTCAGTAGTTTCAGCAAATGCTTGCAGACTAATTGTATGATTTCTTCATGTTCATGTTTTTGACAGTTGTTTCATGAAATAATTAGCTCCAAGATGTTGGCCCAGATTAACTTACCAAGTGCCCGTGCTAAAGCGATGACCACCTCCTGACATGTTGTTTTGTCAGTGACTCCACACACTATGCGCTGGACTCCTTCGACATACACCTTTACTTCCATTCTAAAAGAAAAATAAATCAGATGTTTGTTTCTTCTGTCTAAACCTTTCTGTAAGCCTAAAATGTCACATTCTCAAGAAAATGTCAATCCAATAAAATGACTTGTTCACTCCATAATAAATATTCACCCCCAAGTTGTATTCACTCAATAACGAACTACTGATCACTGGTTTATGTAGAGAAAAAATGTAATATGAACATTCAGTAAGCCAATGTAATAATATAGCATTTTGAATATGAACAGAATAAATCTATTTTTTTAAGCAAGTAAATGATATACTATCATATGTGGTTGTATAGATGGTTGAGTTCATAAAATTAGATTCTGATTTTATGGAGGGTGTGTACTGTACCTGTCTTGATGATCAGAAAATTGAAGCGTAGTAAAATCCTTGCACTTAGATAAGAGGCAGTTCGGTCTATGTTGTCCTGGTGTACATGGAAAAGTCTTCTTGTCATCCTTGACTTAGCTGAGCAAGTACAAACCCTTCCCTTCAGTAAACATTCAGATCAAGACTGATAACAGACTTCGGCTGTAGATGTTGGTATGTGTGTTTGTCTACAGTGCAGTACATAAATTCCCTAGACATTTTTTATTTTTTTTGGATGCTACTTATTTTGAATTTGAGTAAACATGTTTACATTTGACTTATACTGGGGCCAAAACAGGGCTTCAGTTACTAAACATGCTGTATGTTTTCTTGCAATCTATACTATATCTTAAAAATACTTATGTCCTTGCAGTCAGATGTTTAAGAAAACATGAGCACAGACAGTTAAATAATGAATATACTATATGAGCTACTATTTAGTCAAAATAAATATAGTCACCGTGAAGTGACCATTGATTTTTTTTTAAATAATAATTCAGTAAATAAAACATTTAACACATTTTATTTTGTAATATGAAATGGTATTTTGATGAACGTTTTAAGAAATCTACATATACATATTTTCTGCCTTGATTTAATTTGTAAAAAAATGAATGTAACTAAATGTAATCAATTTTAATCAATTTTAAAGGTATTTCAATTTATCTAAAATTTCTGAAACATCAGACAGAAAAAATAGGGCGAGTTATAACACTAATAAAATGTTTTATATTTTAACATTTCTGCATGAATGTATTGTGGTTATCAAATGTACTTGTGGCTTCTGTATATTTGTTTCTTTTAAAAGTGGTTCTGTACAAAAAAAAAAGATATTTAAAATAAATTATACAAGATACTAAAATGCATTGTGGAAAACTGCATACTGGTTACAGGGCCATACTCGTCTAACATTTAGACCAGTAGTATTTTGAATAAACGCAGGTGTAAAGACTTTTATTTTGAAAACATTGATACGGACAAAAATAAGGTCAGTACTTCACACATGCATTTAGATTCTGATTTTATGGAGGGTGTGTACTGTACCTGTCTTGATGATCAGAAAATTGAAGCGTAGTAAAATCCTTGCACTTAGATAAGAGGCAGTTCGGTCTATGTTGTCCTGGTGTACATGGAAAAGTCTTCTTGTCATCCTTGACTTAGCTGAGCAAGTACAAACCCTTCCCTTCAGTAAACATTCAGATCAAGACTGATAACAGACTTCGGCTGTAGATGTTGGTATGTGTGTTTGTCTACAGTGCAGTACATAAATTCCCTAGACATTTTTTATTTTTTTTGGATGCTACTTATTTTGAATTTGAGTAAACATGTTTACATTTGACTTATACTGGGGCCAAAACAGGGCTTCAGTTACTAAACATGCTGTATGTTTTCTTGCAATCTATACTATATCTTAAAAATACTTATGTCCTTGCAGTCAGATGTTTAAGAAAACATGAGCACAGACAGTTAAATAATGAATATACTATATGAGCTACTATTTAGTCAAAATAAATATAGTCACCGTGAAGTGACCATTGATTTTTTTTTAAATAATAATTCAGTAAATAAAACATTTAACCCATTTTATTTTGTAATATGAAATGGTATTTTGATGAACGTTTTAAGAAATCTACATATACATATTTTCTGCCTTGATTTAATTTGTAAAAAAATGAATGTAACTAAATGTAATCCATTTTAATCAATTTTAAAGGTATTTCAATTTATCTAAAATTTCTGAAACATCAGACAGAAAAAATAGGGCGAGTTATAACACTAATAAAATGTTTTATATTTTAACATTTCTGCATGAATGTATTGTGGTTATCAAATGTACTTGTGGCTTCTGTATATTTGTTTCTTTTAAAAGTGGTTCTGTACAAAAAAAAAAGATATTTAAAATAAATTATACAAGATACTAAAATGCATTGTGGAAAACTGCATACTGGTTACAGGGCCATACTCGTCTAACATTTAGACCAGTAGTATTTTGAATAAACGCAGGTGTAAAGACTTTTATTTTGAAAACATTTGATACGGACAAAAATAAGGTCAGTACTTCACACATGCATTCAGCTTGAATCGTCCGACGTTGTTTGACAGATAAACATGAAGATTTTAACATGGAATATAAACGGCATACGAACGTTTAAAAATGGCATCAAGAAAATTTTGGATTCATTCGATGCCGATATAATCTGCGTCCAAGAGACTAAAGTTACCCGTAAGTGTTTTAAAGAAACTTTAAAGAAGACTTTGAATGGCTTGATAAAGCACATGTGCCCTGTTTTTAACAATGTAATAACTTTAACAGCTCAGCATACATTCTTTTTCAGGTGACCTGTTGGATGAGAAGACAGCAATTGTTGATGGCTACAATTCATACTTTAGTTTTAGCCGAGGACGAAGTGGATACTCGGGTAAAGCAGCCTACAGAACCATTAAACGACAGTAAAGTGACTTAAAATTAAAACTGGAATGTTTTAAACACCGGATTCATGTCCATATTTTTAATTTTTAAAAATAAACGTAGCCTTGTTTTTACATTTACTGTCTGCAATGAGCAACCTGAATTTCTCCATGACCAGGCGTAGCGACCTACTGTAAGGATACTGCTACTCCGTTCCTGGCTGAGGAAGGATTGACAGGTCTGCTGGCCAATCAGGGAGAGGCTGTTGGTTGCTATGGTGTCCAGGTTGAGTTGTCTAGTGAGGAGCCTCTGGCGCTGGACAATGAAGGAAGGGCTGTCATCACTCAGCATCACTTCATGTAAGTTTAAGGATCTTGGACATTAACATGTTGTGAACGTTGTTTTCACATATTTTTTTATTATTCTCAGTGGCAAAGATGGACCACAGAAGCTGACCGTTATCAATGTTTATTGTCCCCGAGCTGATCCAGACAAACCTGAGAGAAAACAATACAAGCTCCAGTTTTACCAGCTCCTCCAATGCAGAGCTGAAGCCATCTTGAGCTCAGGGAGGTGAGAGAGAGATCTTACAAAAAAGATCTAAGATGTCTATTTGTTTGATTAACCCATTCCTCTGTCACTCTTCAGTCATGTGATTGTATTGGGAGATGTTAACACTTCTCATCGACCCATAGACCATTGTGACCCAGATGATGTGGTAAGTCCTTTAACGTGTTCCTCCATCATTATTTCAAGATTTCTGTTAACTCCAGTTGTCCTGACTAGGGGTGACAGTTAAGTCCACAGTAAAAGCAAAAATGCACTGTATAATGCAACAGTCACAAACAATTATAATATATTTGCTGATTAATAAAGTGCAACAGTGCCCACTTTTTAGTGATGCTGGTTGCGAACATATTTTCCCATTCTTTTTTCCCCATAAGGATTTTAAAATCTTGTTATAAGCCATGAACCGAACTAACCAGCTATGAGATAAATCAAGAGGTTACAAATTTTGATTAGAAGCAAAAAAGCATTTGAAAATCAGACCAAAAGATAAAAGGTGCTCAACAGTTCAGTGTACTGAACATCTTTAATGAGGGAAAGAACTACAATGCCAAGAAACTTTGAGAATTGTAAGGTCCACGTGAAGATATCCAATGGTGGATGAATTTTATTATGAACTCAAATTTAGGTTAAAATGCCAATTATTATTGATCCTTCATAGGATAATTTGTCTAGACATCTGATTCTATTTAGCTCTTTAATCTTATTGTACTCAATCATTTGCATTCTCATGTCGCTCAGAGATATCGCATTGGCCGTTAGCATACCTCACGGTCACATACTCGCCAGTCTTGGTTATTAGACAGAGGTAATTGACTAATATTTTAGATGGCCGCTCTTACATGCTTGCTCGTTCTAAAAGTACTTTTATTTAGTCCCCATAGATCTGTACACACTTGAATAAAGCAACATTATCTCTAGTCAGAGGTCACAACCACTACTACAGTAGATGTGACCCTGGACCACAAAACCAGTCTTAAGTCGCTGGGGTATATTTGTAGCAATAGCCAAAAAAACATTGTATGGGTCAAAATTATAGATTTTTCTTTTATGCCAAAAATCATTAGGATATTAAGTAAAGATCATGTTCCATGAAGATATTTTGGAAATTTCCTACTGTAAATATATCAAAACGTAATTTTTGATTAGTAATATGCATTGCTAAGAACTTAATTTGGACAACTTTAAAGGCAATTTTCTCAATATTTTGATTTTTTTGCACCCTCAGATTCCAGATATTCAAATAGGTGTAGCTCGAACAAATATTGTCCTATTTCATAACATGAAACTTATTTATTCAGCTTTCAGATGATGTATAAATCTCAATTTTGAAAGTCCATTTTGTGGTCCAGGGTCACATATGGATAAGCCGACCAACATCACTTTGTTTCCCTGATAGTGTCTTTGGTATGGTCATGCCATTCATGGTTTCCCATGTACACTTAGCTAGAATAATATTACAATAAACAGAGGTTAGGCTCACCCTATTTAGGTTGGTCGAACAACATCCAGTTGACCTAAATGGAAATTCCCTTCAAGCCCTTAGAGTCTAAGTACACTTGAACTAATACCAAGTGTTAGCCGGATCTCTAAAAATCCAGTTGTCGTACCCTATGCTCCATCTCAACTGGATTTTAATCTGTTACTAACCTGACGCAGAAATGCGGTAACAAAGATACAACATAACCTACTAGAGTTCATAATTTTAGAGTAAATGGAATCAATTCAAATGTAGCAATGTATTATTAGTCAGGTAAAATGTATTATGCCAATTACAGTCAATTCAAAGATAATCACTACAAGACACCAGACTCTCAAAGATAAATCTAAGAGTAAAAGATGCATACCTGACTTTAGAAAATACATAGTATGGAGTGTATGGACAGATTGGACACACTCCACACTACGGGCTCTTCAGGCTACAGAATCGCCTGATCCTCTTGCAACATTTACTTAAGTACTTCAGACCAAGACAAACATCTTCCAAATGGAGACAAGAACTAACAATTAGAATTTGCATTGATTAAGGCCTAGACGTGTTAACACCATTTGGGGTCATATAGTTATTTACATGAAAGGCACTGGGAAATGACACACCCTCGATAGTAATCGACTTATCTCTAAACTCAGGATCTGTATGACCTTAGTCTACTTGTAAGATTGAGACCATTGTACCAGACGCATAGAGACAGTTCAAATGATACCAAACATGACTGTAAATAATACTTGCATTCATGTAGAACATTATACTATTGACCATTCTGAGTGAGCTAAGTGGTGGGAGGATGGGGAAGGGGAAGGAAGCGGATGAGAAGGAACTAATACATAGGTGAGAGAGACGTTTTCCCGCATATTCTCTCAGTGAGATGTGGAAACATATGTCTATGTTAATACACTGTGTGTGTATTGTCCGTCTCAGAAGATCAAAGTGTCTGAGGTTCTTTATCAGAATCAAATAAAAAAAAGATGGAGGAAATATAAAAGTATTGATTTAAAGATGTTGATTAGATGTAGATAAGAATTATTTTGCTATGGTTTGCTTTTTTTTAGTTATCTGATTGATGGAGATTACAGAATCATGGGTAATGTAGTTTTTTCACTGTTAAAAACAAACATTTAAAATGTCAACTCAACCAGAGGTCCCTGGCTCAAATTTTTGATTTTGCTAATATTTTTTCTAAAGAAAAACAGACATATATAGTGATGAAAGCCAAAATATTAAATGTCATGGATGAATATTTAATAGTATTTACTATTTAAAGTAATCCACTTTTTTTAAGAGGGGGTCAAAATGGCAAATTTCACTTGAGATTCAGAGCCAAATTACAAGAGGGTAAAAATGATTTCGGAAAGATGGCAGCATCATAATGTTATTTTTACACAGAGATTGGTAGGTCTGTTAGTAAAAATCTGACTTTAGCAATTACAATTGTTTTGATAGAAGGAAACAGGACGCATTCCTATTTTCAACATTACTTATTCTTTAGACATTCTGCTTTAAATACAGTAAGTATTAGCTGTATACAAAGTGACCAACACCTGGTTTTCAACCCCTAAAAATAAGTAAAATATTCAACAATCTGAAAATGGAGCTTCATTGAGATCCCCATGTCTCTGGGACTGAACAATGTAGGGCCTTAAAAATGAAGATCCCAAAAGAAAAGTTTATTAAGGACTAGAATCTAAAATCATATTGTAAGATCTTTAATACTTCTTGAGTTATAGGCATGCAAACTTTGGAAAAAACATATTTATGGCACTGAGACAGGTATGTTCAATGCAGTTGCTTTGACAGAAGTAAACGAGATACATCTCTAGTTTCAACATTATTTGTTCTTCAGACATTCCTCTTTAAAAGAAAAGAAACTCTGGAACCGAACATTATAGGGCCTTAAAAATGAAGATGCCAAAAGTAAAGTTTAAGACCCAATATCTAAAAGGGCATTAAGATCTTTAATACTGCTTGAGTTACAGAGATGCAAACTTTGGTGTAAAAACTTGAAAAGTGCCGTTTCCCCATTTTTGAATGGTCTCCATTGGCACAAAATGCAACAAAGATTGCTAAAGTCAGCAGATTTTACTAATAGACCTACCAATCTCTGTGTAAAAATAACATTATGATGCTGCCATCTTTCTGAAGTCATTTTTAGCCCCCTGTAAATTAGCTCTGAATCTTAGGTGAAAATTGCCATTAGTGGATTACTCAGGAAATATCCATCCATGACATTTAATATTTTGGCTTTCATCACTATACATGTCTGTCTTTCTTCAGAAAAAAATATTAGCAAAATCAAAAATTTGAGCCGGGGAAGTTTCTGAAATTTGGTTGATTTGACACGGAATGACCTTTAATATAATTATATGTGGAACTGTATTTCCAATGGACCAATAAGATTTCATTATGGGCGGAGTCACCCGATGTTACACACTAGAAATAGAAACTAGGTAACCAAGCAAATGTCTTGTTGCAACTGGATAGGACAAAAGCTCAAATTTACACGGAAAAGGTATATTTGTTTTATCGCACAAGTTACATACTAGCATATATCTGCTCTTATTACTGTTCTGTCATTTAGGATAACTTTGAAGATAATCCTGGGAGGAAGTGGCTGGATCATTTTCTGTTTGGAACGGCAGAAAAGACTGAAAATGGAAATACTGAAGATGAACTTACAGACATCTCCCAGAAATCTGCCTCTGGAGGCAAGTTTGTCGACTCCTTCCGCCATTTCCATCCAAAGTGCTCCAATGCCTTCACGTGCTGGTCCACGCTTACGGGTGCCAGGCAGACCAACTATGGCACACGGATTGACTACATCTTAGCCGACCACTGTCTGGTGAAGTCTGCCTTTTTTGGTGTGGACATTATGCCGGAGGTGGAGGGATCCGATCATTGTCCCGTATGGGCGCAGCTCAGCTGTACCCTCAGGTCTAGTCCCAAGTGCCCACCCATGTGCACACGTCACATGCCAGAGTTCACTGGCAGACAGCAGAAACTCTCACGCTTCTTTGTCAAAGTTTCAGAGAAAGAGAGGTTTTCTAAAGTCTCTGAAGAGAGTCTACCTGGATCACAGGATTCTGGGGAAATTCGGGAAAACCTGAATCCTGTAGTACAGGGAAACAGTGTTGCAAAGAAGAGACCTACATGTAGAGAAAAAGATGCAAATGCATCCAAAGCCAAAAGAAGCAATCAGATGAAAACTGAAGGCAATGCTAAAGGAAGTCTTTTAGCTTTCTTTAAGCCTAAACAAACACCATCGATTCCTTCCATTGGAAACTTGAGCCCGAAACAGACAAAATCCTCTGAGGATAGCCCAGGTAGTGAGAGTGATGTCAGAAGCTGCCCTAGCGATGTGCAAACGGAGACCAATCTTTCTTTGGTAACAGAGATGGAGACTGAAAATCAGGATGAAGTGGAAGGAGAATCGACATCCATAGTCAAGTCAAAGGACTGTAAAAAGGGGCCATGCACTGGTTTTTGGAAAGCGGTTTTGCATGGGCCTCCTCAACCACCACTGTGTAAATCACACAATGAGCCCTGTGTCTTACGGACTGTGAAAAAAGCAGGACCTAATTTAGGCCGGCAGTTTTTTGTATGCGCTTGTCCTCAAGGCCATGCCTCCAATCCTCAGGCCAGGTGTAATTTTTTTGCCTGGGTAGATAAAGGGAAGTAGGATAAACTCAAGGAATCTGTATGCATACTGTATATTTCATGTTTTGATTGTATATTTTTGTTTTATATGTAACATTTTTATTGTGCAACAAACAATTTTAAAGGATAAATAATGCTCTTTTGAATTTGGTTTAGTATCATACATTTCTAGCTTCAACATTGTTTGTTCTTCAGACATTCCTCTTTAAAAGATTAAAATTACCCACATTTGGTTTTTGACCACTAAAGATGTGTATAATTGACCAATTACTCGATTATGGGGTCGCATTGAAATCCCAATATCTCTGGAAGTGAACCATATAGGGCCTTAAAAATAGGAATATCAAAAGAATGGTTTGTTAAGAACCAAAATATAAAAGGATATTAAGATAACTTTAATCCTAATTGATCCACAGCCACTCTGATCACACTTTGGGGGGGGAACCTCAAAAAGTTTTTCCTAATTTTGAACGGTCACCATTGGTATGTAATACAACAAAGCTTATTAAAGTCAGCAGATTTTTCTAATATACCTACCAATCTCTGTGTTAAAAAAAAAATCTTCAGAAAACAAATAAAAAAATGTAGCCAGGAACTTTTGTAAAATTTGGTTTTGACATTGAATGACCCAATACTGAGTTTAAAGTTAGTCAGCTGAGCAGGAATTCATTTGTTGGAGAATACAAGCCTCTTAATATAAAGGTTTTGTTGTTCTGGTAAGTACTATGTGTGGAATAATAACTGCAATGAATTAAACCCTTTGAGAAATATTATCTTGTCTTACAATATCTTGCATTAGTAATTTATATATTTATTTATTTTTTGCTTTTGCCTTTGTTCAATTTTCCAACATTTCTGTGTTCTTTTCTTTCCTTGTTTCTTGTCTTTAATTTGTTCTGTCTCTCTCTTATTGGCTCTTTTTCACTTGTGCTTGTTATCTTTTTAGTTCTTTCGATTTCAGTTTTCCTTTTCCTTTAATTTCGTACATTTTTCTTTTCCGTTTCATTCATTCATTCATTATTCAGCCCATTTGCTCTGCCTCGTTTAGTTCTTTCCCTTTTCCTCATTTATTATTTTCTCCTTTCTCTCTTTTGCCTTGTTCATTCGTTCCCCCCCACCCCCACCTTTTTGTCTTCCTTCCTTTACGGTTCAGGTGTCTTTTATTTTGATAAACGTATTTCCGGTTTGAGTATTACATCCTGTAAAGGGAGCCGTTTTCAAGTTGCTGGATAAAATTGAACGATGCGCTAAATAAAATATCGACAACAGGTATTTCTTAAGGTGTAATGCCTACAGATATTCATGATGGAGAGGTAAGTTTATCAACTCTGCGTCTACGCGTTAACAACCGTGTGTGTTCTTGTTCGATCGTTGTAAGCTTGTCCAAAATGGCGAGTGTTTTGGTGACTTGTCGCGAGCGTTTATGTTACCTCCGAAAACGCGCAAAACCGAACACATTTGAAAAGGATGCACGTAAATTAGATGACAGCTGACAGATGTGATAAATATTCAAATTTGTTTAATGTCTACAGTTTTACACTTGACGAAGTACTATGTGTTTCTTCCATTATTTATATTTTTTTAATCATTAATTGAATCCATGTATTCATATGACACTTGTCAGCACAGAGAATTCTACAGGTAAACATTTTTTAAATAATGCAAATCATAAGCGTAAATTATTATTCACAAATTTGTGATCTGTAAGATTTCTAAAATGTTTTTGGAATAAGTCTCTTATGATCTCCAAACCTGTATTTATTTGATAATAATAATAATAATAATAATACAGTAGAAACAGTAATACTGTATTCACCCAATATAAAAAATAACTGTTCCATATTTTAATGTAAATTATTCCCAGCAATTACTCCAGTCTTCATTGTTGCATGATCATTCAGAAATCATTCTAATATGATAATTTGGTGCTCAAGAAACATTTCTTATCATGATCAATGTTGAAAACTTTATGTAAATGTAAAATAATGTTTAACTGTATGTGTGTTTGTATTTATATATACAGTGTATATATATATATATATATATATATATAAAATAGTATTTTCACAGAATATTAAAGATAATTTTGATGTATAATTTTTTTCTTCATCTTTTAGTGGAACAGGAGTCTATTACCAAGCAATGCCTGCAGTGGGACCCGATGGGAAAAACGTCATGAAGTTAATTCCTGTCCAGAAAGTAAATGGACAGTTTTATCAGACACCATTTAGTACAGAAAGAGACAGTGTGGATGTACAACTGAAAGCCTATGCAAAACCGGTTCATCCACCTGCTGCTGCTTCATCTCAAACACAGATGCGGCTTCCCTCCCTTCAGACCATAGCAGATGGACGGTATGTCCTAAAAGCCCTGCCGCAGGTCGGAACTGTATCTAACGCTGTCAAAACTCAACATGGTGGAACTAATGACCTCATTATTCACAATCCACAGCCAGTGCATGTTCCTCTTTCAACACAATCGCTTTCCCAGTATTCAGTCCAGTTACCTCCTCAGCCCAATGGACAGGGCATGGTGGCAGTCCAAATGTTGCCTGTTACCATTAAATCACCTGTTCTCCCAAACGGTCATTTCCTGCAGATCCCTCCGAATGCGAAAGTTAGGACTCTGCCAGCCACTGCGCTCCCACAGTCCATCAAATGCCGGATAATGAACTCTGTGAGTAACACCGCTAACCTCCAAAAGAGTCCACCAACAGTTGTGCTTGTTTCCCCTGTGAACTCTGTTAAGCTCAATTCTGACCAGCAAGTAGTTTCGGTTACAAAGCCAAGTCAAATACAGAAGACCCAGTTTCAAAATCTGCTTACAAAATTGCAAACACCTGTTTGCGTTCCTAAAACAAATGAAGAAGTGAACACTCCCTTAAAATGGGTCATCCGGGAGGGAACAGGTGCATCCGCTCCTTGCCTTGTACCTGTAATGACACCGAATGTCAACTCTGACACCATAAAAGCAGTCAAGAATGTCAACTCAGTTGGGATGGCAAATGAAATTGTGCCAAGCAAACCCACACCTCCTCAGGCCAGCCAAGAAAAGATTACCCCAGGCAAAGACAACGCCCTGGTCATGTGCAATGGGAAAGTCTACTTTGTGGCCAAGAAAAATTCAGAGATCGCCAAGGATGTGATGATCAGCGAAGGTGGGAAAAGAGGGGTTGTCAGCACCTCTCCTGCGCTGCCTGCCAGCTCCGCTCTGGGGACAAACTCTTCTAAGCAAGACCCAAAAAGAAATGTAAGTGAAATTATTGATCTCTGTGATGACGATGAGGAAACGTCCACATGTCTGGGAGGTGCCCCGGGAAATTTGCCTACACCGAGTCAAACTGAGGTGGATGAGAGCGATGAAGACTCTAATGTCATATTTGTGTCATACATTCCACCCAAGTCAGAGACTCGTGCTGGTGATAAAGTAGAGAAAGCTGCCTCCCAGAACAAATCTGAGGAAGTGCAACACACACAGACAAGCGCAAAGTCTGTCTCACAGAATGAAGGGGAAAAACCGGCACATGCGGAAATTGAAAAAGATGGTGGTCCAGATAATCCTTCAGCCAAAATGAGTGATGAGATGATGGATGAGCAGATCGAGGGAAATGAAAGAGATGAAAGCAACTTGAGCTGTCTTTCTGAAAATGTGAATATGGAGGCAGATAAAGACTTGGAGAGTGGAAGTCCACCTGAGACGAGAAGTCAAGATGATGCAGCTTTCGCTGAAACTGCCAGCGTTTTGGAAGCACCCCAGAATGTCTGTGTTCAAGCCACTTATGATACTGAAAAGGTAATAGACCAAATTTAAACATCATATTTGTTAGTTTTAATGAAATAACGTCTTTCAATAGGCTGACATTTAATGCATTCTTCTCTCTGTCTCAGGCCTATGGAAATCTAGAATCTGATCAGAGGAGTCAACCCAAGACTGACTGTGAGCTAAGAAAAGAATTTGGCATCACCTCTGATGTACAAATTTGCTTGCAAAGACCAAAGCCGACTGTGAAGCCAGATCAACTGACAGAGAGACTTTTCATAAACAAACGCACATTAGACGGCCTTCGTAAAGTGATCCAGGAGTCAAAGTTGCAGTCAAAAATACAGCAAATGATGCAGGCAAGTTACATATTCATGCATCCAAATTGTGTTGTAATTTACAGTGCATGTACATATTTCCTACATCAGTGTTGATCAGATGCTATTTTAATATATTTCCAAATCATTGTTGTTATGGTTAACTAAAACTATTAAAAAACATTTTTTGTAATTGAAATAAAGCTGTATTCAATGTAAATATAAATATTAGTTCAAAATCTTAAAAAATAGAAATGCTTCCTTAGCAACTAACTGAAATAATTGTTTAAATGTAAACTAAAATAAAAACAAAGCTTGACAGACACGACTACAAAAAAAGAAAATAAAAATGTGATGTAAAAATAAAATGTTTGAAATGTAAACTAAAATTAAACTGAAAATATAAAAATAAAAGCTAATTCAAAATTTTAATCCATGTTATAATAGTATATAAATAGTACTAAAATAGTTCAAATCTATATTGTAAATATTTCATGAACTAAATAGTTTTTCTTTTTTCTAACACGTTTCTCTCTTTCCTATCTGAAAATGAAAACTTAATTGATGGAACAAGCTATTTAAAAAATAATAAAATAAAAATTCTCACGTCAACCATTTTTTCACTTGTTTGAGGAGTTATGACTGTAGGAGTAACAGCATCGATTCATTTCATGACACTTTGTTCAATTGCTAGGTTCCCTACACAAAAATGGAGGAGGATGAAGGCCTGACGGTCAAGAGAAAAAAGCAGGAGCAGGTTGGGAGTCAAGATAATCCCTCTCGAAGTTCCACAAACATTTCACCTGCCTCTAAATGTTCAATTGTTCCCACTGAAAACAGTTTAGCTTGTCAAGAAGAGGTTTGTTCACCAACAGAATCTACAGGTGATAAAGTTCATATGCAGTCTCAAATGCCAGCAGATTGTACTGGTAACATGGGCTGTTTTACTCCCTTATCTGAACAAAAAGCCAAACAGACTTCTAGTCATACCTTATCACCTTCCTCTCAAAGGAAGACCGCACCGCGCTCTAAAAAAGGTAAGGTGTGCACGGCCTGTCCTTGTGGGACTGTTTTGGGGGCTGCAGAAGCCACTTCATCCCTCCATTCACAAGACAGACCGAGTCCATGTACTGCTGTTGAGTCACAGAAAGGGACAAAAAAAAACTGCTTAAATAAAACCCCAGAAGAGAATCGCCAACTAAAAAATCAAGATCCTGTTAAGAAAGCAGGGAGAAAACAGTCATTAAAAAATCCACATGAAGACAAAGCTCTGTTAGAAGGCTCTACTAGTGAAACCTCGCACGACATCTCACCTAATAGTTCAGTGAATATTACACCAAGTGCAGCATCAGACAACCCCAGCATGTCATTCTCGAATAAACAGCAAGGTCCCAAAATAGACACATTTCCAACACAGTCACTGTACACATTGGAGACGCTGGATGCCGAGGAGATAAAACGGCGTGAGAGAATCGAACGTTTGAAGGATCTCCTGAAGAAGAAGGAGGCTGCGCTGGAGAAGATTCAGAGGAGCATGAACATTTAGTCATGTCTCTTTGTGTTTAAAAGACTGTACGCTGCATGACAGACTGAATATGACCGGGAAAACCACCAATAAATGTACAAGAAAAAATGTATAGTTTGTACACAATGTTTATTTACTAACTGTTTTCCCTTTTTAATGTTTACCAGATCTCAGTGTCATATTATATTCAGTCTTTGGCTTCCTAAGCAATTTGTGGTGTTTGTCTTATTTATAGTTGTTTGTAGTACGTTTAAGCAGATGCCATCATAACATTTTTTACATCTTTGTATGATTTACGTGCCTTTGTCAATACTTTGTATTCTGTAGTTGAATTTGTAGTGTAAAAGCCTCATTTCATAATAAAAAAAAAAGCAATTTAGTAAATAAGTCCATGCACTTTTGGGAACCTTATTTGCTGTCTAGCTGAACCATTTTAAACTCAAGAATACTGTAAATAACATGAACATACTGGTTAAATTATTCTATTTTTATAGTCATCCATGCCTGTTAAACTCAATGAAAATGTTGCTTGTTACCTTGCTAAATTACAATTGTATGTGTTTTCATGCTTCAGATCCCTTAATCCTGTTTTGGTCAGAATTGTAGTTGTTTACTTTTTAAATTCTTAACCTCCCAGTTGTCATGCTGTTTCACACTGCTTTGTAACAAAAACATGCTGGAGTGTTATCAGATTCTTAATGGTGCAGATGATTTGAAAATGATCATCAGACACTGGATTTGCCATTAACCTTTTATTTGTAGTTATAACAGCACATTTTGAGATGCAACAAAGGTCCTGTTGTGTTATAATGGCAATATTTCGTTCAATCACCAAAAAGTTACTGGAACACCTGTTGATGAACAAGGGATATCTTCAGAATCTGTTTCCAATATTGTCAGTCTCGGTACAATGAAATGGCATGTCTTCTTTAGAGGGATTCTGTTTCACAAATGATTTAACATCCGTTCATTTTGCATTTCAAGTGTCCAGATTGGGGGAATTGATTTGGAGATGTGTTTAGGCAAACAAACACAATAGAATGTGGTTTTATTTAGGGTGATCGTTTAAGGCACACTTTTTATGTTTATGTTATGAAGCATCATACAAAAGCAATAGTTTCTAAATAATAATGCCACTTTAGAAATGTGGTAGTCACAGCCAGCCATGTTAAATGAGTATGTCCAATAACAAATGGATAAAAATGTCATGAAATAAAATACACTCTTTATAACTTATTCATAGAAATAAGGATGATTGCATATGATCTTAAAGACATGAAGCTTTATTTCCATGTGTTTATACTGTCGCTCCAAACAAGATGCATTGTAAACAATTATTTTAATGCAATATAGTGTGCAATATAGTAAGAGGCTTGCATTGTAATAGTTATTGTACACTCATATCAGTTTTTGCTAATGATCTGGGCCCGTATTCACAAAACATCTTAAAGCTAAAAGTAGCTCATAACTCGCTGATTTAGGAGAAAATCTTAAAAATAATGGGCGTGTCAATCCTAAATTTAGAACGCCTACATTTTTGCTCTAGGAGTATTTCACAAAGCATTTTAGCACTAAAACTAGCTCCTAAATCTGTGAAACGTTAGTAGTGAAGAGGACTCCTAAATCACTAAGACCAAGCCACAAACTATCCTAAAATGGCTGTTGCCGGCAATCTGCCTTGGAATGTAAACATTTTAGAAACATTTGACGATAATGAGCTTTTAAAAAGGTTTATCGCCTTTTAAAACTAGCTCCTAAATCTGCGAAACGTTAGGAGTAGTGAAGAGGACTCCTAAGTCACTAAGACCGAACCACAACTATACTAAAATGGCTGTTGCCGGCAATCTGCCTTGGAATGTAAACATTTTAGAAACATTTGACGATAATGAGCTTTTAAAAAGGTTTATCGCCTTAATTGTGGGGGTATTATGATTGTTGTAGAACTTGTCGGGGACAATTTTCCTTTGATTAGCCTATATCCTATTTTCATTAACCAGTTGGGCAAGAAGTAACCGCTCTTCTTGTGTTCAGTTTGGTTTTCTTTTACGTTTGCATGTCTTACTATCAGCCACGATTATTCTACTCTGTTAATTAAAAGGCTGTTTATATGCATATTCACAAATTGTTTACAAGAAGCATACATGTAAGAGGCTGACAATTAGCTGAACATATACTTGTTTAATTAGTGACTCTTAGCCTGCATCTTAAAATATTTATTTGAATGTGGCAACTGACATTTTTATTTTTAAACCTTTATTTGAATATGGCAACATAAAATCGTGCTCTACAATATTTCTATGTATAAATCTCTGACAGAGCCTGCCCCTATCAGCCAATCACTGTGTGCATAGTTAGTAAGAATGCTGATATCATCCATAGCAACGAGGTCAGCCCCACCCCCTTACTCTTAGCTTAAAGGGGTCCGATTATGCTTTTTCACTTTTTCAACTTTAGGTAGTCTGCAATGTTGCTGTTTGAGTATAAAAAAGATCTGCAAAGTTACAAAGCTCAAAGTCCACTTCAAAAGGATATATTTATTTAACAGAAATCACTTTTCAAAAACTACAATGAACGACTCGTTTGGACTGCAATGCATATTTTCCGGGATTTGTGATATCACAAATATCGACGAATGGGACGAGACCTGGTTGAGCTGCACTAGAGAAGGCAACGAGTGTTATCACTATGTCGGAGACACGCTAGCTTTCCCAAGGTAGACGAACTTAAAGTGGTTACAATCATCCGGGTTTAAATCGTGCTCAAATTGATTTGATTTTGATGCAATATTTTCACTGAAGCTTGCAGGCGGCTATGGTAAGGGGAACGACATTTCCCGACCAGGCACCGAGTGCTGCCAATCACAACACACACTGGCCCAGCTAACCAATCACAGCACATTTCGTATTTCAGAAGGCGGGCCTTCATTTGATACAGGAACTATTCGAGCCGTTCATGCCAGACTGGGGAGAGAGGTGTTGTAATAATGTAAAATATGTGAAAAATAATGTAGTATGAGAGCCTGTTCTAGTACATCCCCAAAACAAAATCAAGACTTTGTAAAAGAGCACAATAGGACCCCTTTAAGATTTCTCTCTTCCTTAGTAAAAGTTTGTCTCAGCAGCTTTGTGAATTGGGTTTAAGAGAAAACTCTTAGCTAAAAACTTTTACTGCTATTTAGGAGAACTCTTAGTGGTAAGATAAAATGTTTTGTGAATACGGGCCCTGATGTATATGCTCCTGTTTAATATTTTCTTGTCTAATATTACATGCATAATGACATCTTGTGTCAGGGATGTGCAGTAGACAGACACTCGTCAGCAATACTGTGCTGGTTATTACAGACAACAGCCAAAGTAACTATAAGTTTGGCTGTCAGTCAGTGATGCCCTCTGCCGGTGGAGAACAGCAATATGACAACTTCAACACCTCCAGTGGTTTCAGCGCTGGCTGGCAGTTTAGAATTCTGTAAGTAATCCAGTCATACTTATAGATTAGTGGTATAGAACTTTCATCAGAATTTCTTTCATATGGATCAATCCAAAAATAACTCAAAAGAAATCTAAAATTGAAATGAATTAATGGCATGGTAGTCTCCACAAACTGTTGCATGTATATCAGCATTTCAGAATGTGGCTACTCAAAATTATGCTACCTGTTAAGTGCCCTGCACTGAGGCTCCTGGATAAACGTCACTTTTTTCTTAGAGAAAAGACAAAAAACACTTTGAATTTGAAATGTACATTGTTTACAATGTAATGACATATTCAAAAAACAATTGTGAGGCCTTTATCAAATCAGGTCAATTAAATTAACCACACAGGGTTATATAATAACACATTTTTAGAAGTTCATCAATATATGTAAAATGACAAAAGGCTGCTGCTACAAAAAAAAAGAAAAAAAAGAAAAAAGGTTTGGACTTGGCCACGAATGAAGCTAAAATAAATTATGTGTCCACTTACCGTTATTGGCCTTCTGAACTTCAGAGAAAAAACTTCTGTAGAATTCTGCGAAGGAAGCTGCAATTAAATCTACAAGACCATATCTTTCCTTTGGCTTCTGTTCACGTTACATCTTTCTCAGGACTGCCACCTTCTGTCTGAATCTCATTTCTGGCTGCACAGCTTAAGAAAAATACCGATAATACTAAATGAATGACAGAGAGAAATTCAAATCAGACATAGCACAAATAACACTTCACTTACTCCGTCCATTTGGTGCAGTTCAGCCCTGATGGAGAATAAAACCCAGGAGCGCAGTCCACACATTCTGTATCTGATGTCTTTGTCCCTGCAAGCAGATACAGCAACCGAAAATATCAGGATTACACCTTAAAATGGGGGAAGACTTAAATATGTTAGAGACTTCTAAATTGAGAATCATACCAGGTGTTTTTGTTTCTTGTCCTGGTCTGCAAACTCTGTGTTTTTGAGCATGACGGCACAGTGCATTGGAGTAATCAATGCAGTAATATCCATCAAGCACATCACAGATGGTGTTTTTTATTGTAGTGCATTTACTCTGGCTGTAAAGGCCTTGACCTAAAAGAGCACATTTAGCAACACGTTAACATTGGCAATAGGGCAAAATTACAAATTCTGAAAGTAAAAGAAACATGCAAGAAAAAATATAAACATACTTTCAGCACAGTGTTTGCATGTGAAGCACAGATGAAGACCATTGGGTTCACTCACGAATGTTCCTGGAGGGCAGGGTTTGCATGTGGTACTTACATCTTCACTACAGTCACTGTGTACTACTGATCCTACAAACAAATATTAACACACAACTCTAAGGTGACCAAGCAATTCAAGGATCTTCTGGAAAAATAAAAACATTATGGGTCCGTGATGATGTTGATGTTCATAGATATTCATGTGATTTCATAAGTTCTCTATAGTTGTACAGTTGAGGGTGGGGTGGGAGTTAAACATGAATGCTTCTGGAGTGCAGGGATTGCCTATAGTGGCAGAATTCCCAAAGCAGCCCGTTGACCAATAACCACACAAAAAAAACACTGACAATGACCATACAAAACTAAGATGACATGCTGTACTTTGTGAATTCTTAGAACGATTTGGAAAGGTAAAAAATAAAACAAATAAATTCATCAACAGTCTCCTAACAAATGTAAGGAGGTTTCAATTGTTTGTTCCAAGTAAACAGACAGCTAAAGACATGCATTTATACTGTCGCTATGAGCAAGATGGTAAACTGCAAATTATTTTCATATAGTGCTGTACAGAGGCTTGTATTGTAATATTTATTATTAAAATCAATTTTTGATAATTCCAGATATATGTTAATATGTATTATTCAATAACCTGCATAATTGCATACAAAGAAATGCATTGTCTTTTTTGTGGTCAATTACCTGCGTCAGCAGCAGTGTGCAGTAGATACATCATCTTAACGATTTTTATAAATCATTAATCCTGCATGAAAATAGCAGATGTGGCCCAATTTCATAACTTCTGTTAACTATACTTTTGGGGTATGGTGGAGATGGGAGAAAAGGTGAAAAACGTTCTTTTCTTTATTACCACTTATCATATTTAAATGCGTTTGATGAAGTTGATGAGTAAACCTACCTGGATTGCACATTGGACAACATTCTCCATAAGCAGATGTGTATTCATTTGGACTACAAGTACTTCCAATTGAGAGAAAATGATAAAAACCTGTAAAGACACAAAATAAACAGCACTGAACCTGTAAACTCTTAATGGGTCAAATGTTTTCCCGCTCACTGCTTATTTAATGACAGTCACAGAGCACTGTCACACGATTAGTTACTGCTACAATCGCCATTTCTTCGATAGTTGCATGTTTAACCAGGCGACATGATGTCTGCTGCTAAACATTTCCATTATAATCAGATGATTGTCTTGATCACCTCTAGGCCTGTCACGATAACAACTTTTTGTCAACTTGTTTTTGTTTTTCAGATCAAAATGTATTGCCCTTTCTGTGGCATCCAATGGCTGACTTTGCCAAGATTTTGCAGTTCATGTGGGCGAGATGTAAGCTTTGTCGTAGAGAATGCCCCTAGAACAGCGGGTGATGACCAGGTGTCAGCAAACAAAACAAAAACAAGTTGACTGAAGTTTGCACGTTATAAAAAGTAATAAACTAATCAGTTACACTTGCACAATTACATTTGCAGAAAGCACATACTTTATTGTCAAAATGAGCCTAAAATGCAAAAGAATAAGCCTGATTAGAGATAGAAAAGATCCATTTCCAAATACAAAATTTGAAAAGTTTTAAATACTGTACTCATTAAATATTACTTTCGTCCATGTGCCAGTTTGTTTATAATGCCAACATATGTTAGGAAGTGTTGTCAAATCATAATAGAGAATACCAGCACAACTTGTTCCTCAGCTTGATAGATGATCAAGTGTGGGCACTGTAGTCTGCTCATTTTTCCTGAATAGATATACATTGTCTATATACATATACATATACATATATATATATATATATATATATATACACAGTGTTGGGCAAGTTACTTCCCAAATGTAATACATGATGTATTACTAGTTACTGTCTTTTAAAAGTAATTAGTTACATTACAATATTACTGTCTCTGAACTGTAATGCGTTACACTACTTTTGAGTTACTTTCACCAAAATATCCACAGAAGAATTATAAAATGCCAAAATGTAGTTTGTTGCTGCTCATTCTGCACCCAGTGGAGGGTAATGTGGTAGGTCTATATAGCATAAAATTATAAAAATCATATTTAGATGCCGGTAGGTCTACATTAATTTTACGTTGTAGTTTAGGTTAAACACAGATAAGCAGAAACCGCATTATTACATTAATAAATAACACCGGTAAATAAAGCGAAATGTTATAATGTACAAAAAACACAATACCTAGCCTATAGGCAATTTTGAACGGTTTCAGAAGAAAACAAAAACGAAAAATATAAGTTAAACAAGCCAAAACGAATTAGGCTAATCAGTGGCGGCGCTAGGGCGGGGCTTGAAGGGGCCCATCAGAAACTTGCTTAGCACCGGCACAGCCCCCCCAAGGATTTCCTAATGATGTCCCCTTATTTTTGGTGTCACTTTCATTAACATTAAAAAAAAATAAACATTAAAAAAAAATTGCCTAATATGTGGCCTATAAACGCTTAATATTACGGGGGAGGGGTCAAGCAACACAAGCAAGCAACGCGCAAACTGTGTGCAAGAGTTATGCCGGTGAACATTCACTGCCGGTCAATTCACTATAGAGAAAGTGAAAGTAAAAAAACTGACGGAGCTTTCTAACGCTGCATTAACGGCGCATATTCTGAGACAACAAGAGACAAAATTACTTCGATATAGGCTGATGATGGTATATAACTGTCTTAAATTATTCCCTTAATATTTCTCTTGTGGCCCGTATAGTGAAAAACATGAGAAGAAACGTATTTCGCGTTAAACAGGTTGTTTTTGAAAATCTGTGCACGAAATAAAGCTGCTCTTAATTTTCATTGATGACTGCAGTGTTAATAATTTTAATTATAGGCCTATAATTCAATTGTATAAATTAATAGACCTGTTTAAAAAAAACTATTAAAAAACATTTTCAATGAGGAGTAGCCTAAGCTAATAGCAAATTTTAATTATCCTCACAGCGCGCCATACGGTAATGCGCTAAAAATTATTGCGGCGCAATAATTTCATGTCATTTAATAATAAAAGTAACCTAATAATAATAATAGGCCTAATAATAAGAAGAATGTAACAGGCCTACATTACTTGGAAATGCTAAATCCTCTTAATATTGCCAATTTTTGATGCTTTGTTTTGACAACATCTCTGGCTATCATCGACACATGATACGACGCATCTCAGCACGGCCACTGTGTGGAAATAGTTGTATGAATTGTCGGCACTTTCTTTATCTACTGTAAAAAATTGTTAGAATTTACCATGTTTTCCTGCCAGTTGGCATTGAGAGTGACTGACATTTGATGGTCAGAAAAAAATACTAAATAGATAAAAATAAAATTTAAAAAATCCCTACTTTCTCTCTTTTCTATGTGCGTTCATAAATTGTATTAATTTGTAAGTATCATATTTGGCAGTTGGCATTAAAGTTATATCACTAATAACAGTGGCACATGAGAAGTTTATACCACAGAAAAAAAAAATCTAAAATATGCCTTTTTCGAGGCTGCTGTATATAAAAAACACAAGGTGGCTGAATTTGTATGCTGAAGCTTATAGGCGTTCATTATTTTCACTCAATTTAATTAGTTTTTTAGCACCTCCTCTGAAGCAATGCTGTGTGTGCGTGAGGCGCCGGCGCGATCGAACAGCGGAAACAAACAATAACCAAATATTCCGTCATCTTTGGTCATACAGATCATTCGAAACGGCAATGTGTTTACTTCATTTCTGTCATCTCGGTTTCCTTTCCGTGGACTTTCGCAGAGCGCCGCGCCACACAAATAGCCTATGAACCAAACTCAGCAGCATATCTCTCAGTCTTTTCCTTTCGTTTAGTTAATCTGTTAATTAGGCTAAGTCAAATATTTCGCATATTCATTCATTTTACATAGGCCCTATAGACTATGATTGAACAAAAACAGATTTTGTTATTTTTAGTTAAACTTAATTTTTGTTGCTTGTCTGCGCTCGTCCGCCGCCTTTTTCTCTTCTCTGACCCTGCAGCTCTCTCCGATAGCTTAGTGGCACCAGTCCAGGTGTTTCCAGGTTTTACTCGTGCTATTTCTCCATGTTGAGAGTTTGGTGTCGCACATATTGCTAAGCATTCTTATCCCTTTCTTCGATAAACTGAAAATAACAGGAGTGTGTCCATGTCACAAATGTAGAATCTGTCTCTGCAGTCATCTCAACCATCTAATTCCAGCAACAGAAGATAGACAAACTATTTTACCCGCTGATTTTTTTCTCTGGTGCTGTTTTGCGGTGTTGGTAAATTCAACATGCACTTAATTTAGAGTTAAAATATGTTGTTGTAACTTGCGTTACTGAGATTGTAACGAGTAATAATATTACCCAAATTTTATTAGTAATGCGTTATATTACTGCGTTACAGCAAAA